CAGCGACCTATCACCTGGGCTGAGGGACCAGGGGAGGAGCAGGTGATCCCTGGGGAGCAGCAGGGCAGGGCTGTCACCTTGAAGAAGGCTTCTTCGAAGACCAGCAGTGGCCCTGAGAAGCCAACCACAAGCAGCGGCTGGGCCCCCAGCAGAGAAAAGAGGACTCCAAGCACAGCCGTGGACACGATCAGCTCCGACACACCCATCAGCCCTTCGGTCTTCTCCCCTGGGAAAGACAAGGGTCAGCGGGATGGCCTGGCCCGACTCCCACCTGGCCCCCTTCCTTATCTAGCTTACCCTAGCCTGGGGACCCAACTAGAATGGCACAGCCCCCCAGAGCAATACATAGGACCCCTTGTTAACCCCATACCTCCTGCCCCCTCACTACCAGCCTCCAAGGTGATCACAGGATCCTCCACCTCTTCTCGCTTTATAGCCCCCCAAAAGTGATCACTGGAATCCCGCCCCAGCAGCTCAGGGTGGTCACACTGAAGACTATCTCCTCTCACCCATGAGACCCTAAAGTGATAACTGGGACACCCTGACCCAGAAACCTTGCAGGTGACACTGAGCCCCCTTACCTCTCTGCCCCACCCCCTCACCTAGCAGCCCCCCGAAGGTGATGGCAGGGCTGAGGGCAGCGAAGTAGATAAAGAGCACGGCGGCCACGCACTGGGAGTGCAGAGCATCGCGCAGGTCACTGGGGTAGTGCGGGTACCGGCGCTTTATGTCCCGGACAAGCCCCCCAAATATCGAGCCAGTCCGCCGCAGGGGGTCGTCTTCAGGGGTCGCCTCAGAGCCCCCCAATTCCAGCGACAGCTCTGGGGAACAAGGGGTTGCTGGAACACAGACCACCCCTCCTGCTCGGAGGCCCTCGATCCTTCCCAGCCTGGCCCATGGGGCAGAGGCCTGGGCTCAGGGATTAGAAGCCACATACAGGACTCTGGAATTCAGGACGGGGCTGGGGTCATGGCCTTAGAAGCTGTGTGTGGGAGCATGGGGTGGTTCTGGGCCCCAAAGGGTCTGACCTTTCCCAGGGGCCACATAGCCTCCCCGTGTAGTCATCTCCACTTTGGTGTGCTCCCGCTCCCGCCGCTTCCTTAGCAGCTCGCGCTGGAAGGCGGCCACGGAGCGCAGCAGGTCGCGGCCCTCCACCTCCGACGGGGGGATCACAATGCTGCCGTCCAGGAACTCACTGATGGCGCTCAGGAGGTCCTGCCGGTCATCTGCCTGGTAGGCAGCCTCGTGAAACAGCTGGAGGCAGGAAAGCAGGGGCTGAGCTGACTGGGGGAGGCCTGGGAGGGGGCTTCGGGGAGGGGCTATTAGGACGTTCAGCCACATCCACAGGGCCAGTCTGGTTGTCAAAATTCTGACTCACGAGCCCTGCTGGCCGGCAAGCAGCCACAGCCCTGAACACTGCCCCCTCCGAGTGTCCTCTATTCCCCTGGGAGCCTCCAGACTTTTCCACGATGTAAAAACTAACTATAGGGGCAATGCCTGGCACTGAAGAGCCTCCAAGACCATTCTGACCGCAGGGTGCCATGTCCTGTAGGCTGGTATTTTGAATATCACTCTCCTATCCAAGCCCAGGAGAAGCCATGACCCATTCAAGTCTCATGTCACATCTAAAACCTAGGGGTCTGGGCTGCTTCTCCCCTGCTTCTGCCTCCCCCTCCCACAGTCCCAGCTGCAGAGGGCTCCCTTTTCTCTCCTCGGCCAACAGCCTCTCCGCCACTCCAAACACTGCTTCCACCCAGGAGAGCCTCTAGCACCCTTGCATCCATGGGTACCCTTGGGGCATTGAGACGGACAGAGAACAAGGAGAGCCCAGGGAGACGGGCTAAAGTGCCCAGCCCATGGGCTGTGGGACCAACCTTGTCAGACATGAGGGTGGCAATGGAGCGCCCAAGCTCATGGTAGTCAGTACTGGTGTGCCTGGGCCCAAGCATCACAAAAAGGAAGCGAACTGGCACGGGGACCTCAAGCACAGACTCCAAGAGGACAGCCTCATTCAACCGCACAAAGGCTGCTGCGGGCTGCTCCAGGAAGGGCACACAGCCTGCAGGGAGAGGAAGGCACAGGCTGCTGGGCACAGGGGAGTGGTCAAGGCAGGCCTGGAAGGGATATCTCGGGCCACCATGCACAGTGGGGCAGGTTGGGCGCTGCATAAAGAAACCCCTTTCTAAAGGAGACTTATTCATTTATTTGTCCGTATATTTATCACAACTTATCAACGGATAGAAATTAAGGGTTGTAAGGAAGGGGTGCTTTTTTCTAATTCTCACAAAGATGCTATATGGACTAGCAGTTGTCCAAGACAGTGGAAAACTGGAAGAGATGCAGGCAGAGGATTGGGGAAGAAGGGACTGGAGATGAGACAAGACGAGCTGGGAGGGGCAGGTGGGGGCCAGGTTGGGGATGGAAGAAGCAGCCTGCAAGCCAGAGCTCAAGGCAAGCAGACCACAGCAGAGGCCCCCACACCCTGGGCCCTGGCCCCCAGTGCCCATCCCTCCTTACCCACAAGCACCACAGTGGCCTCAGCATCTTCGGGGATCTTCTCCAGCAGCTTCATGCTTTTCCCCCGGTGACCGTCTCCCCCAGGCATGTGGAGGGGCTTCTGAGGACGCAGAACTGGAATAGGGCTGGGACCCAGACCGGAGGCCATGGCAGGCCCTCCCTTCCCTTGCGCCAGCCCTGGACTCTGCCCTCCAACCCCTGGATCTGAGCCCTGCTTTCTCTACCCCAGCCAGGGGAGAGACTGTTAGTGATGTGCTTCATATCAGGAGGGGACCAGTCCAGGATCTGGACCCCTTCTCCAAGTCCCCCACAACTCCCTCAGCCTTATCTTGTTTAAATAGCTCCCCTGGGTCTGCCACATCATCCCATCTAAACCTGTATCTCCAGAGTAGGGGTCTGTCATGCATGCCCCCTATTGATCCCCCCACATGCCTAGCACGGTGCCAGGCATCCCACCTTCCTGACCCACTCAATGAAGCCGTCAGTGGCCTCCATTGAAACTGGAAGCCCCCTAGTCCCCCAACCCAGGTCAGGGTAAGGCAACTGACCTCCTTGGCATCAGGGTCATGAGGCCAGAGTGGGGCTGGCTCCCCCAGGTCATCAGCCATGGTAGGCACCGCCCCATCAGGGCCATGACTTGGAGTGGGGTGGTGATTCCCCATGACCGAGTTCACACTAGAGCTGGACGTATTTCGAGGAAAGAAGCCGCTGTCCTTGTCATCATTGGGATGGCTAGGGAGAGGGAAGAGGGGGCAAGGAAGGTTAGGAGGAGAGGATCTTGGTGGACTGAGAGTATGAAGAAGTGAGAGGTGGAGGGTTCGGGCCTCCACCCCTCCGCCTCGATGTAAGAAATATCTTTCTAATGGTTGGCGCTGTCCAACGATGAATCTGGCCTCATCACTGGGGGTACTCAAGCGGAGGCTGGAAAGCCACACAGGAGAGACTGTGCTCCTAGAGGGACAGCTGAACCAGGAGGGCCCCCCTGGGCACCCCACCCTGGCACCTGTGCTTTAGTAACAGGGTACGCAGGACGCTGGCCCTGTCCTCCGGCCGGATCTGGTCAGACACAATCATGGTCTCCACCACGAGATGTGCGATGCCGGGAAGAGTGGTCTGCTCCAGGTCCAGGAGGGCAGCACCTGGGGGCACAGTCAGAGGAGGTGACACGGTCCTATCAGATAGGAAAAAAACCACCCCCAGCTGCCTTGCTCCCCAAGGGCAGACAAATGCACTGGGTGATCCAAGCACCCGTGCGCCAGGCAGATCCACTACTCCACGTGTCCATAGCCCAGCCAGAGAGACGGTTGGGAAAATGGAGCACAGAATGAGGGCATGGCCCCTCTTCACCCAGGAAGGGGAGTTATTTATTGGTTTACTCCACAAAGACTGATGTGCCCTATGCCCAGGTACCAGGGGCACCCTCAGAGCTTACAGCGGTGCAGGCAGGTGGTCTCCACATTCCCAAAGTGGCAGCCAGACCCTGCCTGGTCCCAGGACTCCAGGGAGTAGTCCTGGGAGTTGAGCAGCCTGGCACAGGCTCTGCAGTCTGTGAAGAGGGCATGCACCCCGGGGCCAGGCCTGCAGGGCCCCTACCGTGAGCGATGGTCCTCCTGAGCTCCAGAAGGCTGCGGAAGGAGAGCGAGGCCACGTGGGGCTTCCCCCAGCGCTCCGTCTCCTCCTCCACATCCTCCTCAAACTTGATCCAGCGCGCAGTCTCCCGCCAGTGGGGCTCCTGGCTGCGGTCCAGCATCAGCTCGTTCAGCTCCACAAACACCTGGGGTGGGTACCAAGGGTGAGGGCCTGGGGGCCACCGGGTGGGACATGGCGACAGGGCAAGGCAGGGAGGGGGGGAAGGGAGGCTCTGGGCAGCAGAGGCAAGAGGGAGCTGCAGGCCCGTGCCCCCAAGGCCTGTACCTCATGAGGCCTCCGGTCTAGCTGCTTCTTCTTCTTCTTCCTACGCAGGATGGGGGCCAGGCCGCCGGGGCTGCCCCGCCCGCCCTGGCTCCGGGATGGCTTCTTCACTAGGTGCCGCCGCACGCCTGGGTTGTCTTCCAGCCGGTGACCTGCGGCGAAGGTGAGCTTGGCAGTCCCAGGGGTCTAGCTCAGGGCCTCAGGGTCATGACCAGTCCTCCAGTCCCCTGCTCTGCCCTGCCAGTCCACTTGGTGGGCATCACAGTCACCAGGGACCATGCCAACAGGACCACCTTGTCTAATGTGGCCATTTCATAGATAAGGAGACTGAGGCCAGAGAGGAGGAAGGACTAGCTGAAAGTCACACAGAGGACCGCTAGCCAAGCCACAGCAAAAAGGCAGAGCCCAACTCAGTCCACAGCCCCTGCCATGGCCACTGCCTCTCACTCTGCAGTGCAGGGACCCACATCAAGTCGCCAGGCCCCAAGCCCCCAGCACTCCCTGAGCATCTTTCAGCACTCATGTCTAACCCCATAGGTCCACATCATGGCAGATTCAGGAAGATCTCTCCCTTCCTCCCCACCTGCCCCTTCTAGGACAGCAGCTGGGGAAGGCCAGCAGCCCATTTACTCACACGCTGGTTCCCCTGGCATGGGGCTCAGCTGGTCCCTGGTTGACTCCCACAGGTCACAGTCCTCAAAGTCCAACACAAACATCTCCAAGTCCTCTGAGACCAGCGAGTCTCGAGGGCTAAGAGCTGGAGCCCTCCCAGGGCCAGGGCCCCCAGCATCCCGGGGCCCGGAGCTCAGTGCCCCATTGGGCTCTGTGACCTCCTCCAGCTGGCTCGCCATTCCCCAGGCAGTGGCGGAGGCCTCAGCCCCTGCTCCCTTCCAGAGCCCTGGCTCTCCTGAGAAATGGGAGCCTGGACAGGAGTCGTCTTTGTCCAACCAGAGCTGGAGATGTCTGGGACTCTTGACCCCAACTCCCCAGGTTCCCAGGACTGCTCCTGGCTGCTTTCAGCCCCCACCCAAGATCTGTAAACACGCCCTCCCCCTGACCCTCCCCATCCAGTCACCACCACTGCTGCTGCCATCGGATTGTTCCTGTCCCTGTCCTCAGGCCCTGGCAACTTTCCATGACGTATTGAGCTCAAAGCCCTCCTCCCCACCCCCGCCCACACACTGGTTCTTAGTGGGGGGAGGCGGGGTCAGTGATGCCTCTGGCCTGGGCACAGAGCCCCATGGGTGATGACAGGTGGCACAGAAACCAGGGCCTGATAAGATGGAAAGAATGTGCCGAGATCACAGCCAGGCCCAGCCAAGGGTAGAGGGTTGGGTGTGAGGGGACAAGCCCCTAACATAGGGAGAAGCAGGGCCTGACAGAGTAGCTCAGACTTGGGGGGCTGGTTTGAAAGGATGAAAAGAGTCTGCCCTGAGAAGAGGAGGGCCATATAATGATATCTCCAAACATCATGTGGAAGGAGGGCTGCCTATTCCGAGGGTGACCCAGAGGACAGAATCAGGACAGAAGGATAGAGGTGTCATGGAAAGAAATCTCAGCTCTGGAAACCAGAGCTAAGAGGTGGTGAGCTCTGGCTTGGTGAGGTAGTGAGCTCCCCATCACTGGCCACATTCCAGCAGACAGGGATACTGCAGAGGGGGGCTCAGCCCTGGGTCAGAGAAAAAACGGAGCCTCTCCAAGGTCCCTCACAGGCGCAGTGCTCATGGGAGTGGGCTACGGGGGCTGCCACAAGGTGCCACTCACTCTTCATGTCGTCCAGGTCTGCCGAGCCCAACATCTGGGCCTCTGCCTCGTCAGTGGGCACCTGCTGCTCTCGGCCACCTAGGCTGCCCAGGGCACTGCCTGGACATAGCCGCTCCCGCAGGTCGTAGCTTGCTGATGGGCTCCAGGGCCGGCTCTTCTCTCCTGCAACTCGGGAGGCCCTGGCCCGGGGGCTAGGGGAGCTGAGGAGGCAACAGGCAGCCTTGGACTTGACAGGGAACCACAGTGGAGATAGACCAGGTGAGGGGGTTCCTTTGCCTCCACCTTGGGGCAGCGCCTGGAGTGGCCCCCCTGGCAGAGAAGAAGGCTCACCTCTACCTTCCTGCCACCACCATGCCAGTTCCCCTTCCTCTCGATCCCCACCCTCTCCCCTGAGGACTCGTTCCCTCTTGGCCCTGACCGTCCTCCTTGCCAATGGTGGACACAGAGGGGCACCCCTGCCTGCTTCCTCTGCGCCCTCTCCTCTCCTCCTCTCTTCTTCTCTAGGGTCAGAGGTGGACACACTCCCCAGGCCCAGGAAGGAGCCCGGGACCTCCTCTGAGCTGGGCTGGAGGCCAGTACCTGACCATGTGCTGGGGGCTCTTGTCAAAGAGAGGGTCCCCCGAGGACAGCGGCCTGGTGAAGGCAGCCCTCCCGGAGAGGCTGGGACTGTCTTCCTCATCACTTCCAATGGAGAACTGCGGGCAAACCAGACATGCCCTGGGCCCCGCCCCAACCGGCGGCTGGGCGGGCAAGGCCTCCCCTGCACACCTCCCGCAGCCAGCCCTCCTGCGGGGCACACCCTACCTTTGCTTTTGGTGGGGACCCAGATGGTGGAGGCTCCGCAGGCTCTGCCTCGTAGCCCCCTTCCTCCTCCTCCTCCTCCTCTTCCTCCTCTGCCCCCGCGGCACCCTCCTCCTGGATGGGGGGGGTCCCCTCCGAGGGGGCGGCAGAGGTTTTCTCCCTGTTCCTCCTCCTGGTTTGCCGGGCAGAGGCGGGGGACACGCGCCGCAGCTTGTGGGGTGGAGGCAGGCGCACCGAGAGCGGGTGGTGGGTGTGATGGGATGTGTGCCGGTGAACTGGGGGTGCAGGAGAGCCAGTTGGGACCCCCACAGCCACAGGGGACCCCACACCACCCTAGGGACACACACCTTAGTCTAGCTCAAGGCCTCAAACAAGGGCACCTTAGTCCTTCCTCCAGAGCCAGACTCCCCCTACCACCTGTGTCCATGTCCTGCACTGGTGAGGCCTGGGGGAGTGGGGAAGGGAATGATGGGGGGCGTGGGGGGGACGGGGGACACGATGCAGCAAGAAAGGAAAGGTAGAGTCAGAGAGCTAAGGAGGGGAGATGAGGCAGACAGAGGAAGGCCAAGGGCAAGGCCCAGCCTGGGGAAGACGAAGGTCGCTAAGGGAGGCCCCGGGCCCATTTCCCTACATCTCCCCTGCGCCTGGGACCCCGCTTCCTGGCAGGTGAGCAGGTGATGGGTGAGTGAGGCAGGATGACTTAACATGGCATGGTGGCCCAGCACAGCGTCCAGCACAGCGTCCAGCACGAGATGGCACTGGGTGACCAAGCCGGTGGTGAGCACAGTGATGGTGGCAATGGAGGTGATGGTGGTGAGGGCGGCCACACTAGGGGTCCCCGGGCTACCCACACTCAAAGTCCCGCTCGCTGTAGCTGCGGCTGGGCTTCTCGGGGTCCCAGGCCGGGGGCTTGCTGATGAGATCCCCAAACCTGCTCACAGCCAAGGTCTTGCCCAAGTCATCATCGTCCTCCTCTGCGTCTGGACTCAGGGGGGGCTCCTCCAAGGGCACCCGGACCTGCAGGCCCAGACAGCTCTCCTAAGGACCCCTGGCCCGCGAATGCCCCACACCCGCCCAACTCCAAGCCC